GCACTTCACTGGCAAAGAGCAAGGAGGACCGGGCTAGGCGGCATCTCGGCAAAGCCTAGCCCGAAGCACCCCCTGTGGTCGGCTTTCCTGCCGGTCAAACGGTAACCTCGGCTAACCGCGCATTTCCGGGCGCCGGTCACTCGGCTTGTCTGGCTTCGGCTATCCTCGGACCGAGCATCCCGGTCAGACCAAGCACTGCCTTGCCGAGCTGCTTCTTTACGGTCTGGGGCGGGACGTACTCGGCCCAAGTTCTGGCAGCCCATCTATGGGCGAATAGTCGATCATCTCGGCCCCATGCGCTGCTGGGCTCTCAACTTGCTCGGTCGCTACCTTGGCCCAACTCCAGATCATAAATCGCCCTCTCAAATACAAAATGTAAGTCTTAGACATTTTGATACATTTTCAAAAATCTTCTTGTCTTACTATATGGAATTGGTGTAAATATTTCTTAAATAACTTAACATGCCTGTCATTATTACTTGAATATTAGGGTCTAGTTTCCTACTACTCCTTTGAAAAGGGACAACCTAAGTTCACTTTAGTTTTCGGTACCAGTGTAAGTCGATTCTACCGACATCCCTTATTCGGCATACCGTTTGGTTGACAAATGTGCTATTCGACTTTAAGTTTTCGACACACTCAATACGCCTGATTGAGTTTGGGTTTTGTGATGGATGGATCTAAATGTCTTATTTGCCGATTGTGCAAAAAAATTAATTGACTCACACAGACTATTCCGTGTTATTTATTGATTGATTTAAAAATAAATTATTTAAAACTTAAACTCCTGTAACATCATTAAAAATTAATTTAAGGGTTATATTAGAATCGCGCATTTCTCAATGAGAAGTCCTAAAAGGAAAATAACCACAACTATGTTTCAGGGCATAGATTTACCTCTCTGAGTGGGGCGTCTATGTGGGGGTACAAAAGCGTATGTAACATCTTTTTTTATTGTCTCCTCCCTTTAATAATTAAGAAAAATGTGTGGTGGGACCCACACACTTGGCCAATACAATGCCAACACGTCATTGGCTTTGGAGTGATTGGTCAGTTCAAACAATTAATGTTAAGTTAATTTTTTTAGAGAAAAAAATATTATTAATTAATAGAATTATTAAATATTAACTTTTCTCTAGTGATGTAAAATTCGTTCATCTTTATATGATAGTACATACATACATGATATATGCATAGTTTCCACCGTGATTGTGATTTTATCACAAAAATATCTTTTGTCAAATCCTATTTATATTAAATATCTTTATCCCCTTCTTTTATCACTAATAAATTGAAGGGATTAACAGATATGTTGGTTTGGGATATTTTTATATTTTAATAATCGAGAAAAGTTATTGGATGGTTCAAGATAAAAGTCGATTGGTGTTTCAATAGATCATTGATTGATGAATAATCTAACGAATAGGCAATCATTTCTTGATATAATTTCACTACAAGGTTAATGGAAATGAGATAAAAGCACTAGGTGGTCATACTCCCGACCAAAATATAATTTCTCAATAATTATAATATTATGAGGATTTCCTAAACAATGTGTATTTGTTAGTTTATTAAAAGATATAATAGAGTCATTTGAACACTTAAATATTTTCTTTTCTTGTGCTCTACATATAAAAAGGGTTGGGATTTACAGTACTGGTGGTCATTAACCCCGTATTTTTAGAGTTTGAAATAAATATCTTGTCTTATAAGTCTGGATTGGACTAAAATTGAAACTCGTTTACTTTTTAGGCTGAGTTTGAAATGAAAAATTTCAATCCAAGTTGGTTTGGCAAGCCCATGTATAAAAATACATTCCAGTTTGTATTATTTAGTTACATAATAATATATTTTTTTTTATTTTATAAAATGGATATGAATATATATATATATATATATAAGACTTGAATTGAAACATTTGTTAAAAATATATATACAGGACTTGAATTGAAACATTTGTCTAAAGGTTCAAATCATTCACAGTTAGATTTTATCAATGACCTAAATTTAAATAATTTTATAAGGATCAAAATCATTTAATAACCCTGTCAGAGTGAAAAAAAAAGGGTTTATAGGCCTTAAGCAGTTTGGAATTTATAAGTTTCTTAGGATCAAGCTTGAGATAGATAGATTAAGTCTAATGTCAAGTATTTTTATTATATAGTGCAAGCTTTGCCCAAACTTGATTCGGTTGATATCCATGTAGTTCACAGTAAAAAGGCATGTTAAAGGTGACAAACGGGCGGATTTGAACAGGTGGAAATGGGTTGTACAATAATCACATTCATATTACCAATTTAATAAATAGATTTAAACATGTTAGGTTGAATTGATTACGGGTTAAGACAAATCAACCTGAACAACCCGTTTATTTTATTGAACTATTTATCTAATGGAATGGATGGTGGAGGTGGTGATGAAAGAGGAAAAGGTGAAGATAGGATGGAGGAGGTGGTATATGTTTAAATGAGTTTAATAGGTACTAATTTTTAATCCATTTAAATTAGATTTGAGTAGATTTAAATAGATTTTAAATGAGTATAATTAAATGAGTTAATGATTTGAGATTAAGGCCAAGTTTGACATGATTGAAAAAAGATAAAAAGTCAAAAAGTCACTATCCTATTTAAGTCATATCATCTTATTTAAGTCATATCACCTCTCTAACACATCACTTCAAACCCAACCCAAATCATATTTCATAAAAAGTCAAAAAATACACTTATTTAATCTTCTCCAACTAGGCCTAAATTTGTCACCTCAGTTATGACATCAGATCCCTTTTTTCTCTCTCTCTCTCTCTCACTCACTCACTCACTCAGAATGGTAGAATAAAAAAATAATGCATTGTGTGCACATGGTCAAGCTGTTCACAAGTACTAGGTAGGCACACCATTCATTTGTATAAAATTATAACCTTGGAGCCCATATCATTGTATTCCCTACTCCAAGGAATGTTGGAATTAACACCTACGACCTGAGTGTTCTGCAAGTGACGGTGACAGTTTCTTTAAAATGGTGGCCGATTATTATTATTATTATTATTTAATGATATGATTTACAAAGTTATGCAAATAAAACCAATCTAAAATTTCTCTCTATTTGATACTATTATGATGACTAATGGGGTTTCAAATTTTCAATCTAGTCAGGTCTATTTTGTTAACTAACATATCATAATACTAAGGGCACAAAATTAAACTCCAGAAATGAGCCCAAAAAATATACTATGTGATTAACATTTGTCTTGAATGTAACGTAGGTTACACTTAAAAATAATATTAATATATTTTTTGTGTTTTAATTTTGTGGACTTAGCATTAAGATATTTTAGCAATCACTGTCTTTATTGGCATTCATTTGTATCCATGTTCTTCTCCCACCTTGTATCCATGTCAATGATGATCTATGAAACACGGGTACGGGTACGGGTACAAGTACTGGTACGGGTATGATACGGGTACGTCGGTACGGTAAAATCTAAAAAAAATAAGATACGGATACGGCTCGATATACTTGTAAAAAAATATTTATTTTTAATTTAGAACAATGATATGATTTACAAAATTATGCAAATAAAACCAATCTAAATTTTCTCTCTATTTGATACTATTATGATGACTAATGGGGTTTCAAATTTTCAATCTAGTCAGGTCTATTTTGTCAACTAACGTATCATAATACTAAGGGCACAAAATTAAACCACAGAAATGAGCACAAAAAGTATAGTATGTGATCGGCATTTGTCTTGAATGTGACGTAGGTTACACTTAAAAATAATATTAATATATTTTTTGTGTTTTAATTTTGTGGACTTAGCATTAAGATATTTTAGCAATCACTGTCTTTATTGGCATTCATTTGTACCCATGTTCTTCTCCCACCTTGTATCCATGTCAATGATGATCTATGAAACACGGATACGGGTACGGGTACGATACGGGTATGATACGAATACGTCGATACAGTAAAATCTAAAAAAAGTAGGGTACGGATACGACTCGGTACGCTTGTAAAAAAATATTTATTTTTAATTTAGAATAATGTAAAAATTAATTAAATAGTTTAATTTGTTAAGATCCAACCTATAATTAACATATAATGCCAAAAGTAAAGGTATAATTAAAATTAAATGTCAATATATTAAATAACTTACAAACTATAGTGTAATTTTAAAATCATGCTAAGCATAAAAAACTAAAAATAAAAAAGAAGTCTAGTGAAAAGAGTTTTATTTCTGTAGTAGAAGAAAATATTGTTTCAACTGAGGTACGATACGTCTTGAGTATATACTAGGTCTTGAGTATATACTAGGTATGTCTGGTACGTCAAAAATTAAGAAGAAAAAATTTGGGTACGTATTTCGTATAGATATGCAGAAGTACCATACGAGGTACCATACGTCAATAAGTACCCGATACGGATACGGCATATTTTTCAAAGTACCCATGCTTCATAGATGATGATGATGATGATCACAAATTCAAGAATGCATTAGGTTCACACAATTTTGAATAGATTCCTTATCTGATAGTTGTTGATTTTTTTCTTGAGAAATCACTGTGACCTTTCATCCATTTGCTCATAAATGCACATTATCATTGTACTCTCTTTTTTCTTTATTTTCTTTTTAATTGTGGACATCATTTTCTTACTAGAAGTATCACCCTCTCCTGTTTGTAGTAGTGTCACTTCATGCTATTACTTTTTTTCTTTGAATTGTGGTTAAGGAGTTGTTTGTTGTTTTGTCACTTTCAAGAGGATTGGTGAATTTGCAATTATCATCAAGAGCCGATCCAAGCCTGTACAAACGAGGAAGTTGTATGTTAATTAGCCTAACAATCAACAAATAAAAATCTCATCTTTGGGTCCCTTATGAACATAGCCGACCCGACTTTGACTGAGACACAACACTTAATTTAATTTGGTTTGGTTTGCGGATGTCAAGCCATTGGATCTGTAAAATATTCTTAGCTTGTCAATATTAAGGGAACAACACCTCTATAAAATTGAAATATCAGTGCAAAAAAATCCATTTCAGATGAGAATATTAGTATCAGTGGTCTAAGTTTTCTGTGGCTTCATTTTCTTTGAATTCTTAATTTATTCTGAATATACATATTTGAAATGTTGATGGGTTTGTTTTTTTTGAAGCTTTGTTGTATATAAATGGTCCTGTGGCCATGATTGTTAAGGTAAATGAACTAGGCCAAGAAGATTAAACTAGGTTTGTTTATTTATTGCTCACAACCTGTTTGAACTTTTGGCTCATATTCTGACAATGGATGAACACTCAGCAAGAGAGTCTCTTCTTGTGAGTAAAGGCAATGGCCTTGATTATGCCAAGAAGACATCCTTTCTGGCATCATCCATGAAATTGATTCTCAAATTCATAATGTGGGTAATTTTCATTTACTGGGCTACTTTCATCTTCTTTTACCCTTCAACTTTTGTCAATGATTTATATGGGAAATATATTGATGCTACTGAGGGAACTGCGTATGGGATCACAGGTATGTTGGCAATTCAAACCACTTGATTTTCACTTTAGCCTACCGCTATAAGTGATCTCAAAGTTTGATTTGACAAAATTGCAGGAAGTATATTTCTGGCATTCAGTGCCCCAATTCTTGTCATTGCATTTCTTGCCATAGCACATCTCATCATCACCGGTGATGAGGAAATCCATGAGTATGTAATTTTGTAGTTTGATAAGTACTTTGATGTCTTCATATCTCTAACTATTTTTGCAAAGTGAATATATCATATTTGTCCATTCATATTGTTCTTTAAGCTTGATTCTGAGATTAAACTTTTCATACAGGAAGAAGACGGCAAAAAATCCACGTTTTCGGTTGTGGACATTCCCAGTAATTGTGGATGGACCATTTGGGGTTGTTTCTGCTGCTGAGTTGATTGGAATAATCCTATTTTCTGTGTATATCATTTGGGCTGTTTCTGCATACGCTGTAAAGGACCTCAACATTTTATCCAATTATCAATTGACCTTTTTTGAGGAATGGTATAATGCTATGCTGTTGTGATTATTTATGAATCTTTTATTGGTTTTAGCTGAGTGCTATTTGTATTAATTTAATCAAAAATTGATTTTATACTCTTCTGTTAATTTATCTGAGGTGTAGAAGAAATCAATTAGTTCCATATATATTATAGAGGGTTTAAAACCCCACTGTTAAACTTGTTTGTGCTGCTTTGTTGGAACCCAGCTTATGTTACCACTTTCTAATGCATAATGAGCTTTTTCTTCTACACTTCTTTTCTTTTTCTGGTGAAGTAATTCCCTTCTGCAATAGCCTGAAATTGGCCCAAAGTTAAGTTAAAATTCTATATAAACCAAATTGAAAATGTTTATGGATTAAAATATTGACGCATTGGTTTTGAAGTTTCTTTGTGCGATTTCTGAATGTAAGCTGGAATTCAAGTTTTGAACAACAAAGAAGAGATCTATCTATAAGGGAAAGCTATGGATTATATATTATTTTGACCATCTATTTTTTCTTCAGTCTTGAAATCATCATTGTTATCTTTCTTTTCTTTGATGAATATAGATTCTATTGAAGAGAAAAAAGGACTATGTTGTCAATGATTTGCTTTTTAGACTTTAGATACTTAGGCCCCGATTAGTTCATGGATTTGATGAGGGAAATGAAAAGAAAATTCAAAGGAAATCACTATTCTTTGTTTAATTAAAGTAGAAAACATGGAAAAGCAGGTTTATAGAGAGAATTTGAAAGATTTGTTTGGATGTCATTTTTATTTTATTATCCTTGATATCAAACTATATTTTAGAAATTTAAAAGCTTATTTAAGTAGGAGGGAAAATAAAATTCAAAACAGTTTTGTTTCTCATTTTTCTTCTACCTTTTCCTAGCACCAAACAGGGATGCTTGTTTCTGCATGCACATAACTACACAATTAGTTCTTGGTGATACATATATTTAGTGGAAGTTCTTGTATGCTTGGGGCTGTTCTGTCATTTATGCATCCAAACTGCTTGTACCTGGTTCTATAATCTTTTCCAGTTTCAATGGCTATGCAAGTGCTCGCTTTTTTATTTATTTATTTTTATATTCAGTATATAAAGATTGGTTTCATTGACTAAATTGACATTGTAACTTGAAAATTTTCAGTAATTTGATGCTGGAGCTGACAGGACTTCGCTTTGGTTTGATTGGGTTATTTTGCCTGGCATTTTTGTTTCTCCCAATTGCAAGGGGATCAGTTCTTCTCCAACTAATAGATATCCCTTTTGAACATGCAACTCGATATCATGTATGGTTGGGACATCTCACTATGGCACTCTTTACTCTCCATGGACTATTCTATATAATAGCATGGGCAATGCAAGGTCGTCTCCTAGAAGAAGTGAGTTCTCAAGATAGACTTTTGCTTCCATTTATATGAACAGATTCATACATTCACAAGTATTATGTTTGTTCGTTGGCCGAAACACACAGATATTTACACAGAGTGAAGGTTTGACTGTCCCTTGAGTGGCAAAGTTGTCAAGGACGTGCATACATAGAGATAAGTTATAAGAAAGAGTGAAAAGAACTCAAATTTGTGAAGAAGAGATGAGGAAATTAATTTTTTTTTATGGCACTTTCTTTTAAGGAAAAAAAAAATCATATATGAACACATGATAAAACTGAAATATGACAATAGAGAGTTCCTGTAGCCCTAACACCAGTTTGCCCCTTCTAGTTTATCAAAGTAAGTGGAGAAAATTGAAAGCATAAAAACAGTAATATCAAAGATGGGATGCAGTTCATGGAGATTAAGGGACAGCAAACAGTTTTCAGGAATGAAAGAGTAGGACAAGAGAAAATGAGGGATTGCCCCAACTTAAGCTTCTTGTTGGTGTCACCTCTCCATTGATACAATTTGTAGGTTGACCACACAACTGAACGAGAAAGGAGTTTGTCTGGGTGAGTGCACAATGGAGCTCAAGAGGTTCTCCCACCCTTGATACACCTCTTTTCTCCTTCCTGCACTTTTCTTCTTGTTTTGTAAGTATAGGCAGAGGACTCAATTCCTCGAGGTATCTTGATCCTTTGCTCTATACATGCCAATAGTTGTAACTAACTTTGCAAGACAACCATGGTACAGAATGCATTCTAGATAATTCTCAATCTACTAAGTTTGTCAATTATTTTCAAGTAGTATATTGTCTAAGAGTATTAGGAATAAGCCAACTGGACATAATTATTTCCCCTCCCTCTCATAAATTTTTTCTGTAGTATGTTCACGGGAACCAGACATGTCTCTCTCCTCTGTAGTAAGTGATGCGTGAAGGAGAAGTAACATTAGGACATATTCATGAATATATGCCTCTTGAAATTGAGCAGATGTGCATGTTTGTGCCACATTATATTCGATGCAGCCTACCAACAAATAAATACATAATATCCGTTATAATTTATGCATGTTGCATTTAGTATGCAAGAGGTAGAGAGTATTAAAAAAAATAGAATTTTTTTTAGAAATTCAAAAACAGTGTTTTAAGTCATTAACTCAGATTGTACATTAGCTGCTTCTGTTTGCTGCAGCCAACATAGAATTTATGCTTGTTAGACCAAGTTTAGGTTCAACATTTGTTTTGTGAAATTTAACTGAATTCTCAAAATTAGTAAAAGGGTGACTCAACTAAAAAAAAAATGTTTATGAACAAAATCCTGTAAATTCTTAGGTTCCTCTGTGAATCGTCTCCTTTTCCCCTACACTAAATGCCCAAAATACTGTTAACTTTTTCTTAATTGTTTTGAGCAGATATTGCAATGGAAAAATATTGGTGTGGCCAATCTTGCAGGAGTCATCAGTCTTGCTGCTGGTCTATTCATGTGGGTGACATCACTTAAGCCAGTGAGGAGGACATATTTTGAATTGTTCTTCTACACCCATCAACTATACATAGTCTTCGTCGTCTTCTTGGCCTTGCATGTTGGTGATTTCATATTCACTATTGCTGCTGGAGGAATATTTCTCTTTGTTCTTGATCGGTTTTTGAGATTCTGCCAATCACGAAAGACTGTCAATGTAATATCAGCTAGTTGCCTTCCCTGCGGAACCGTTGAATTGGTCATTTCAAAACCTGGAAGTAATAACATAACATCTCTTCAAAGCTTGATTATTCACTTCTATATATTTTGTCACCACAATTCTCACTGTTTCCTTTTTGACAATGTAGATCTGCAATACAATGCCCTAAGTTTTATTTTTCTTCAAATTCGGGAATTATCCTGGCTAGAATGGCATCCTTTCAGTGTCTCATCAAGTCCTCTAGATGGTAAATATCACATTGCGGTTCTCATTAAGGTTCTTGGGAAATGGACGGAAAAGCTAAGAGGAAGTATCTTAAATGGTCCTAAGGAGGAACCACAAGAAGAGCAACCCTTGCAGCCTCATTCAAACCTAACCGTTTCTGTAGAGGGGCCTTATGGGCATTCATCGCCATACCATTTAACGTATGTCTTCCATCCTTTTATTCATACATGAGAATCTCAGATGCAAATTATGATGAATCAGTCTTATTTTCTAGGTCTAGCTGTATGTATGTCTATGGAGATGTATATGTATGTACATTCAATACTGATAAAAGACAATTTTGATACGGCATGTAGTTTGGCTCTGTGCTAATTAGGTAAAGTGATAATATAATGGCTGATCCAAAGGTGGACTCATATATAAATTTTTTTTTACACCAACATTATATTTCAATGGAGTGTTGTGTAAAAAAATAAAATAAAAAAAAGAGCAAGCAGTACACTAGGCTCTCTCTAAAGCATGATCTAGGGAGGGCAACATGTACACAACTTTACGCCTACTGGAAAGGCTCTAACTGTTGGAGTGTCATGTAAAGTTTGTAATTGTACCATAGGTAGCATTGGCAAAGTGTTACAGCTACCATGAAAGGAAAATGAGCAGAGTGATATAACATTTATCTTCTTTCAAGTTTTAATACATTTTAATGCACTAACACTTTTTGTTTTTCAGATATAAAAACCTTATTTTAGTTGCTGGAGGAATTGGAATATCACCATTCCTGGCTATCCTGAGCGATATTCTCCACCGTATTAAGGATAACAAACCATGTATGCCAAGGAATATCTTAATAGTTTGGGCCATGAAAAAATCAGACAAGCTTCCTCTTCTTTACAGCCTTGACATGGAATCAATCTGTTGTGTTAAAAAAAAAATAAAAAAAAGAGCAAGCAGTACACTAGGCTTTCTCTAAAGCAGGATCTAGGGAGGGCAAGATGTACACAACTTTATGCCTACTGGAAAGGCTATAACTGTTGGAGTGTCATGTAAAGTTTGTAATTGTACCGTATCTAGCATTGGCAAAGTGTTACAGCTACCATGAAAGGAAAATGAGAAGAGTGATATAAAATTTATCTTCTTTCAAGTTTTAATACATTTTAATGCACTAACCCGTTTTGTTTTTCAGATATAAAAACCTTATTTTAGTTGCTGGAGGAATTGGAATATCACCATTCCTGGCTATCCTGAGCGATATTCTCCACCGTATTAAGGATAACAAACCATGTATGCCAAGGAATATCTTAATAGTTTGGGCCGTGAAAAAATCAGACGAGCTTCCTCTTCTTTACAGCCTTGACATGGAATCAATCTGTCCATTTTTTTCCGACATACTGAATCTTGAGATTCAAACTTATGTCACTCGAGAATCAGAACCTCAACTGGTAGCTCCACTTGTGCTTTCCTCAATTATCATTCCAATTTCTAACTTCACATCAGTTTATTTATTTTCTACTATGTGACTGTTATGATCAACTACAGGAGGATGGTCAAGTTAGCAAGTCTGTGAACTCTTTTGGATACCCTATCCGCAACAAACGTGGCGTTTCTGTATTGGTTGGCACAGGGAACATCATTTGGTCTGGAGTTTATGTCATGGTGTCCACAATTGGATTGGTTCTCTCTGTGGGCTTGTTACAAATCTTTTATATAAACCCTTTTGACATAACTTACTGGTGGTACAAAGGGCTTTTATTTGTTATTTGCATGGTTGCAAGTCCTATTGTATTTGGGGGTATTGTGATTGGTCTATGGCATCTTTGGGAAAGAAAAACTTTAGCAAGGGAGGCTCATGATGAAGATGATGGCCCAAAGATTGACACCCTGGAGGGTAATGAGGCAAGGGCACATAAGGAGTCAAGTCAGGATTATGTTGCTAGTTCAAATTCTATTCAGTATGGGCGCAGACCGGACTTCAAAGGTATTTTCTCAAAATATTTTGGAAGAATATTAGATAAATGGAAAACGGAAAAAAATAATTGCAAATCAATGGAGCGCAAGTGGATATGAGAACTGTCATTTTTATGCCATTTTTACTTGCACTGGGTACATATCTTACTTTTAATCCATTTGATTTGCAATTATTTTTTTATGTTTTCCATTTGTCTGATGTTCTCCGAACTCTTTTGGTTCCTCTGGTGGTTGATGAATAGAATTATGCAGTTTTTAGGTAACCTTAAACCACAAATTTTTATAGTAATGTTACTCATTTTTTATTTTTAAATAAAAAATTATTATAATTTATCAAAAAAATTATATAATATTTATTACAAAAGTACTTAACATATAGTAAAAAAATGCATAACAAAATGCATATACTAATACTACCCACCATTTCCTAGTCTTTATGAAGTCATTAATATGATTTTCTGAATGTGTTTGCAGAAATTTTTGGAACCGTATCGCAGAGGTGGGGTGAAGTAGACGTAGGTGTAATAGTGTGTGGTCCTCCAACTCTCCAATCAAGTGTTGCCAGAGACTGCAGATCACAGAATTTAAGCAGGGGAAGCAATCACCCTATCTTCCATTTCAACAGCCATAGTTTTGATCTCTAAGCGCATCTCCAATGGTTTGCTATAACGACTGTTATTATCAAAATATGACAGCTTGGGTTAATTTGGATTCTCCGGAGACATGCTACAACAGTTGTCAAATTTAACTTTTACCAAAGTTTGTGCCAAATATGCATATATAAGTGTGTATATATAAATATGTACATATTTAGATCGAAAATTCTATAGGGTATACCGTATATACTCTGGTATCTATTTTGTATTTTTATAGTAAACGTTACGTAATTTTTAGTAGAGTAACGACAATTTATAATTAAAAAATGAAGTCACGCATTTTTATAATAATGTTACATATTTTGTGTAACTCCATTTCTAAATTACAAATAGTTATAACTCTATCAAAACTTACATGAAATTTATCATAAAAATTAGTAATATGTATTACAAAAATGTGTATCCATTATGGCAACCCCTTGGCTACATAGCTCTTGTAGGATGTTTATCATGTATACTTTGTTAAACTTTTTCCCTATATGTTACATATTTTTATGTTAAATGTTACGTAATTTTTTTATAGATAAAGTTATAATAATTTGTAATTTAAAGATGAAATTATCTAATTTTGTGATAATATTTGTCGTAATGTTACACAATTTGTGATTCACAAATATTTCGATAAAAAAATGTGTTACATTACTACAAAAATAAATAACTTTAACTTTTAATTATAAATTGTCCTAACTTTATCAAAAGTTTACGTAATATTTATCACAATAATACTTAATATATACCAAAATAAATGAAATAAGGTACATATAATATACACCGAATGAATTTCAACATGTAACTTAAGCACACGTCTATATTAATGCAGCTTTTCTTTCATATTTATGGCCTATCGTGATGGTATAGAATTTTAATAAAGACAAAAATTAAGAATTTTTCAATTTTCGTTTTTGCTGAATTTTTTATTTTAAAATATGGTGGACATCCGAGTGGACATCCCGCGCAGCATAAATTTCAAAAAAAAAAAGGAACAACGCGTCTGATGTTGCAGAGTAACACAAATATTCTGTGCAGAGTTCTCAAAACAGCATTTCAGAATCACAACCAAACACAATGCTTGAATTAAGATGTAAAATTGTGATTTGAAATCACAACCAAACACAGCCTTAGTTTTTTTTATCTAAAAGAATCCAATTTTTTTGTCAAAAAAATCATCAAAAAAATCAAAAAATTAAAAAGTTCACTTTTTATAAACTTCCCAAAATACCACCCAATTAATTACCTTTTAAGGTCTAATTTAAATGGGCCAAAATCTAAAGAAGCGATTTTGACTCATTTTATATAGATATAAATCTTATGAGAAGTAATTTCTATTGATACAAATTTTATTTACAATATTTTTATTTTATTCTTTTTGTAGATAATGTTTATGGGAAAAATTATTTATAAGTCTTATTTGGAAAACTTATTTAATGTGAAATCCTATAAATATTCTTTTAGAATTTGAACTCCTATTTAAATAGGAATGTGTTCCATAAGATTTTATGAGTTGTAAATTAATGATATTAATGTACTATTATACCCCTAATTTATTTCCATATTTTATATTATTTTCTCATTCATTATATCACATTTGAAAAGGCTTTTAAGAAAGACAAGTCTACAAGCAATGACCGTGCTAGTTTTTTTCGCCTTAATCGCAGGATTCCAATGTATTGTCAAAATGTTGCTTAAATTGATGTGGATATGGTTGATGATATGATGAAGTTTGAGGATTCTGTGTTATTCCTTCGACATATTTCGACTCCAACCGATTGAGAGGAAGAGGTTTTTCTTTTTTTTTTTTTTTTTGAAGTGTGTTGCTATTTGTTGAAGTGTGGATTGTTCATCTTTAATAGGGCATTGACAATCTATTACATTCATTGATAAGCACACTTTGCCCAATGTTCTAATTGAATGTGTGTATTTATCATTGTGATGGTTAATATGTTTTGATATGTTCGATGTGTGGGGTGGTGTGTATGGGCTCAAGGGTTGGGTTGGGGGTATTTGGTTTTGGTTGTTAATTGGATATCGAATGTGAATCACATCATAGGATGACAATTGTACATTGGGACCTGAATGATTGTGTTACGATGTATGTTACATTTAGTGTGTAACGTTCATCCACATACACCATGTGGTAGATGACATTTGTGTGTTTATTTGGTTGTATATGTATTTAAATGTGTATCGTGTCTTTGTTGTAATCAGTATTTACATACATGTCATAGTACGTTGCGCAAAATTATTGGGGATTTGAGTTTACAATTGAATGTGGATTGAATCCCATCACTCGATGTTGAAGTTACACTGGATTGGAGGTGATGGTGGTTCAACACATAGGTTGCGTTGGGATGTTACATGTTACGTTTAGGAGGTTACATTATTCATAATTCAACGGTAGAGTATTAGAATGTTACGTTGGGTAGATGCGAAGTATATGGGAATGTCACGATGGGTTTGGAATATTACATGTTACATTTATGTTAGGTTTGGGATGAGAAATATATGAGAATGTCACATTGGGTTTGAGAATGTCACATTTGGTTTGAAATGTTAAATATTACATTTATATTTTGAATTTCAAATTTTCAACCATATAGATATGATCATAATCTATGGTAACATTGGATTTCTCATATGCGATATTGCCATTAATCAAGTTATTTTGAATTTCAGAAACATATGGGAATGTCACGTTGGGTTTAGGAATGTCACATTGGATTTGGAATGTTACATTTACATTTTGAATTTCAAATTTCTAATCATATAAATATGATCATAATCTATGATAATATTGGATTTTCCATATATGGTATTGCTATTAATTAGGTTATTTTGAATTTCAAATTTATAACCATATCTATGATTATAACTTATGGTAACATTGGTTTTCTTATATATGGTATTATTATTAATTAGGTTATTAATTAATTAAGTTTGGAGGTAGATGTGTCCATAAGAAAACTACATAACCTATTGGGTTATAAGTTTTTTCATAGGACCATATATCTTGTATAAGTCTTCAATATAGAACTTATAAATAATTTACCCATGTTTATGTCCATAAATCACTATCAAACAGCTTTCTTTAAGCCACAAAAAATATCAGATTTTGATAGTTTGATATTTGACATTTTAAAGAACACATCCTCATAAATCATGCATATATAGGTGTGATAACCCTGTCCCGTGTTATATTAATTAATCTTAATTATGATTGTGATTATGTGCTTAATATAATTTTGAATGCCATTTATATGATTATATGTGTTTTCGCATTTCTATCTGTTCACTGTAGGAAAATCTGTTTGATTCTCTGCTATAAAATTTAAGTAAAGACCGTAGAGGCATCAAAAAGCGAAAATTGATTGTATTTTTGTGCTTATCATGGTTTTTAGAGCCTACGGTGAAGTTTAATTAAAAAAATTAATTCGGATCAAAATAATTAGATTAAACTGATTGAAATAGGCACAATTAATTAGCCTTAATACAAGTTGATTAAGCAAGTAGATATATATATGGCCTATTTACACTTAAGCTCACCATTTTGAGCTCAAAATTTGATATACACTCTAGAGAGAGAGAGGGAGAGAGACACGATTGTAGAGAGAAAGCATAAAATTGGAGCTTTGAACTAGAAGCTTGGGAATTTGGAAGCTAGGCTCAAGAATTAGATATAATTTAAAGAATTAGAGCTCCTAGGTGAGTAATTGAACTCAACTTCATGAGTTTAAGTTCATAATTAAGTGAATTCAAGCAATATGTACAATTAAGAGCAAGAATTGAGTTGATTATAATGAATTTGAAGTCAATATGACCATGCATGTAGAGAGTTGCCATGGAATTGCATAATCAACCATGTAGCATGTTAAATATGCAAAATTGAGTATCAAATCATACATGCAAGCATGGTTATGAAGCTTGGTTGCATGTGTTTTGAAGTTGTCAAGAAAAATATGAAATGATTTAAGAATTGGATCATGGTTCTGGACAATTGGTCTCAAGTTACTATATTCCCATGCTATGTAATGTCTTTCCATGTTGTTGTACCAAAAACACGAACTTTGGACCTTTAAACATTAGGTTTGAGCTTTAAACAAAATTTTGGAAAACCCAGAATTCGACCTGTCCGCTCGAGTGTGAAAATCAAGCTCTTAGAAGTTTTACAGTGAATTACACGGTAGCTCGAGTGGCAAACCTTGCGCTCGAACGGACCCTGTTTTGCAAGACTCCTCGCTTGAGTGTCAAAAGTCTTGCTCGAGCATAAAATGCATGCAACCAGTACTTTTACAGACCAAAGGGGTCCGCTCGAGTGACTAAAGCTGCACTCAAGCGGAGAGCCCTGTTTCAGAAATTTTGAAAAGTTGTTTTACGCCCATTTTTTTCGTTCTCTTTCATTTCTAAGCACTCTTAGGTATGCATGAAACATTGTAAATGAGTTAAAGGAATAAGAAAGAGGCCTAGGGGAAATAAACGATTTGAGAACGGATTAAATCGCTTATGGCCCGATATGTTGTAAATTGTGTAGGGCCAAGTGCAAGGGCAAATCCATCAGCAGAACACTGTGAGTAATATCTTAGTATGAATGAATTGAAGTATGTTACTTTCCAAATGCTCACTTATGTATGAGTTCTACGGAGTTGTTAAATTGAATTTGATATTCGTCATACCAATGATTGAATAAAGCCGTTGGAATATGATTATGATTACGACATGCTTATGATCTCAGGTATGAAATGAACATAACATGAATAATTGGGCCAAAGGCCATTTGATATGAATGTTGGGGCAGAGGCCGTTTGATATGAATGTTGGGCCAAAGGCCGTTTGATATGAATGTTGGGCCAAAGGCCGTTTGATATGAACGTTGGGCCAAAGGCCGTTTGATATGAATGATTGGCCAAAGGCCATTTGACATGAACGTTGGGCCAAAGGCCATTTGACATGAATGATTGGGTTGAAGGCCGTTTGACATAAATGATTGGGCCAAAGGCTGTTTGACATGAATGATTGGGCCAAAGGCCGTTGGACATAAATGAATGGGCCAAAGGCCGTTTGACATTGATGAATTGGGCCCGAAGCCGTTTGATATGAATGAATTGGACCCGAGGCCATTTGATATGTTTGGGCTTGAGGCCATTTGATGTACTAGATACAAACAAGAATTGGCCTAAGGCTGTTGGATATGTCCGTTATGAATTTCATTCAAGTAATTTCTTTATTTTGATATTATTCACTGGGCTTTTGCTC